GCTAGCTTAGGATTTCAGCATTCTCAGCACTGTTAGGTTGTTTGCCACTGTCCATCTGTTTCCCCACACCCAAAATATGGTTGCTGTAGTCTCCTTTCCCTTTTGCTTTGTCTTCATGGTAGTATGCCTTTTTTTTTTTTTAATCCCTTTATGGTTATTTTTAGTGGAGTTTGAAGTGAAAGTGGAAGGTACGGCATGTTCTGTGTTCCATGCTTTAACCTAATTAGTGGCCTTTTTGAGCCAAATAGAAATATTTCAAGAGGTAATTCCTTTTATTTTTTATTTTATTAAAGATTTATATTTATTTATTTGACAGAGAGAAACACAGTGAGAGAGGGAACACAAGCAGGGGGAGTGGGAAAGGGAGAAGCAGGCTTCCCGAGGAGCAGGGAGCCCGATGCAGGGCTCGATCCCAGGACCCTGGGATCATGACCTGAGCCCAAGGCAGACGCTTAACGACTGAGCCACCCAGGCGCCCTGAGGTAATTCCTTTTAAAGAAAGGGGATGATGGCTTAATTTTCTCATTGTGACCTTTAGCCAGAAGCTCTGAAGTAAAGCTTCCATCTAAAAATGAGGACCCTGAGGCCCAGAGATTCAACGACTTATCCAAGGATCTACAGTTTATACTGATAGAGGTGGAATTTGAATCTAGGTCTCTACTCTGGCAAAAGAAAACCCTTCTCCACATGCAAGACATTTGTGATCTATTCAGAACATTTATGTGTGCTTATGTTAAAGACTCCATCAAACTTCAAACTCTGATCTTTATTTTCAGAAATGGCTTTAAAACTATTAGAAAAGTATGAAAAAACAGAGCCAAAAAGATTTCTTGAGTGCCCACTTAGGGACAGTGGAATTGTGCTTGACAGAGATTGTAGGGGGTTTGGACAGTATCAGATTTGAATGCCGTCATAAGGAACTCTGACATGCCTAGAAATTATTATAGCACAAGGTGGAAAAGGCAGATGCCACAAGGAAGATGTAGACGAAGGTCAGAAAAAGAAGGTATTTTTTGCTGGAGAGATCAGAGCAGGCGTCATGAAGGATGGGTATTTTAACTGTACCTTGGGGAGATGAAGAAAAATGATATTCCACGTAGAGTGAACAACGTATTTTTTTTACTTATTTATTTTTAACTTGATAAAGGATTTATTTTTAACTTGGTAAAGGTGATTCTAAAACTCACAAGAAAAACTCTCTTTGTCGAAACAATAGAACTCATAAAAATCTTCAGAAGATGGTGTTACTTTGATGACAATGACCTTGTGTGGCTCTCTGAATATGTTCTTCACCTATCTAGAGACATTTTTCTAAGCCATGGACCTTGCTTTCATCATTTAACACATCATTCAAACCACTTCAATAAAACAGGGATCATACTGAAGAGGGATCTCAGAGGACTAGATGACACTCCAATTAACCAAGCACATCGAGCCAGATTGTTCTATGCCTCAGACTCAAGAGACTGGCAGAGAGAGGAGGCAAACAAAGGCAGAAAGAGCGAGGACCCAAGTGAAAAGAGCAAAATGCATGTGTTAAAGATGGGCTTTCAGTCTGACTCCTGCAGAAAAACCTGTCAGAAGATTATACACCACCAACCTTAATAAGGTTTATAATAACCCACCAGATAGAATCACAAACCAGAACATGTACTAGTAGAGCATATACTCAGTGAGAATAAGAATATTACAGGACTGGCCTGGTGCCTTTTTAAATGTGTATGCATTGCTCTGGGTACTACAAATGCAAGGCTGGAAGAGGGTGTATGCTGTCTTCTTTTTTGACCCAAGGAGGGCCAATGGAAAAAGCCAGCTTTTGCAAACATGTTGTGACTTAAATGACACAAGAATATGAATGGAATAATCAATTAGTGAAAACAACAGTGGGGCTTCTCTCCTCAAGCCATTCTGTGGGAAGAGAGATACACACTGGGCTGCCTGTGAAATTAAGAAATGGTGCCCAAAAATGTTTTAGGTATACTCCTCTCCCCTAAGGATTAAATAGCCTCATCAAACTTGGTAAAACAAATCTCTTAATATGGACCAATTTTCATTTTAAAGTCTAGCCCTGAAGTCTTGAATGGCAACTGCCAGGGTGAATTGTCTGAAAAATCACCGAGTTGACTGAATCATCACGAGCTTTCTAGAAGAGTCAAATATTCTGGGAAGCAGGATTCGTTCTCCTAGTTTGTCCTAATTTAGTTCAGGAATTTTGTACCTTTGTTAGTGTGTCTTACTTCTTTTTTTTTTTTTTCATTTCCACTGATTGCTGTCATGAAAGTTCAAGGAAGAAGGGCAATTCCACATGGATTTTTTTTCCCATTACAAAGTGAGGCCATACAAACCCTGCATATGGTGAGGGCCTTTATTTGGCTTCATAACTAATCCACATGAGGAGAACTACAACACATTTAAAGATCTGAGTTGAAAACCATAAACAAAAAACATAGAAAGGGGCCAAATTCTTCTCATCTAGTAAAACTGCCATGCTCTAGTGAAGCTGAATAATCTCATTTTTTCCCTTCTTAAGGGTAATCTCCATGTTTATGTTATTTCTGCCAACTCCAAATACTACATACAGCTGACAAAATCCTCGAAGAGACCCATTTTATCCCATAGGGACGCTGAACGGAGAGGAGATGGGGCAGTTCTGGCCGTGGATAAAAGTAGTCTGATATTAAAAATTCTTTGCTTAAGGCACAAGTGTACCTGTCTGTGACATTTTTAATGGCACATTTTAGTGGCATGTAGCATCATCTTTTATGAATGAGTGTGCGAGAGGCCTTGTTACGACCCCCATGGGGACTGTGACAGCACATTAACGAGGGAAGAGCAGTATGGAGAAGGCAAGCAAAGGTGAACCTCGCTATTTTAGGAGTTTAAAACAATGAAGGCAACTTCTGAGTCCTGCATCACCAAACCTCAGGGAAGGACTGAGAGTTTATGGGATTTGCAGGGGAGCAGGGGTGCGAGCAGAGGTAGAAAGGATAGAAAACTCTAGTTCCCATTTTGTCTCTAGTTGATTCTTGTGTAATTTCAGAAAAAGTCCTTTGCTCAGTTTCCTGTATTTTTATCTCATCTGTTTCTTTACCACCAGTACCCTAGGGGAATAAAATGACTCAAAACACCTTGAGAAAGGTACTCACACAAATAGTAAGTGAAATGGCCTAGGGGAGACCTTGCAGGCTCTGACACTAGATCTCGCCTGAAGTGTTCACAGAGATCTACCTTAGAATGTGCTGGGTGATGAGGAGGAGTCCTTCCCTCTTTTTCTTCTTTCTCCCAGTGGCAAACTCTTCAAGACAAACCCAGCTCAACTGTCAACCCCTTTGAGAAACCCTGCCTCTCCCCTAGCCCTGGGGTTCAGGGTCCTCTGGAAACAGCTTTACTGAAGATGCCGCTCTTCACCTCATGTTATGTCACGCTAAGGTATATCATCATCCAAGTCACTCAGCTCTAGAGTTGATGCAGAAAGTTAAAGAAAGATAAGACTCCTTAGAGTCATAGAACGTTAGTCTGGAAAGGGGCTTAGAGATCATTATCTTACAGAGGAAGAAATGAGGCCCAGTGAGGGACACTGGCTTGCAGAGGACACCTAGAAAACCAGCAGCAAAGGTGAAACTGCTCTCCTTTTTCATTCCCAATCTGGGATTCTTATCTCTACACCACGTACTTCTCAAATGTTCTACATTCCATCTGGTCGTTTATTAAATGCATTCAGTGACAATGATTTAAACATGCAAAGGGAATTTATGTAACGGCAAGGCCTGAGCTCCACAAATCAAAAGTACTAGTTTCCTCCAAAACAAGTTACCTGAACAAGCCCTTCAGGATTCTGTTGGGAAATTCTGTTATGGCTTCTGTCTGCCGTTACTGCTAACCTCTCAGCTGATGCATACATATTATATTTCCTCTTAGATTCTCTTTTGTGAAGAAGCAGAAGAATATGGTTTAACAAACATTGACTACTTTATTTTTGCTTTCTATAGTGCAGGTGAATTGAGTCTAAAGATATTTCCTTATAAATTCAACTGCATTCATGCATTACAAAAATCACAGAGAAAGTATTTGACCCCAAAAAAGGTGATAAAATCATGATTGCAACTCTGTCCATGATCTTATTTAAGGAATCCTTTCTAGTTTTTTAAAAGTCCTCCTTTCTCTGAATCAGTGTATGTGAGAAACAAATCTTGAAGTACCGGTGAGTATCCAGATTCTATACTAGTGTAATTCAGCCAGATGTCCTTTTTTTTTTTTAAATGTTATTTTATTATGTTATGTTAATCACCTTCTAATGGAAATTGTATACATTTCCTTACAGATCAATAGTCATTGTACAGAAACCTTAGCATGGAGTTCTAGTGGGGTTATGTGTAGCACACTAAGATGAAGTCCATTCTAAATACAGCTATAAAGAGTAAAGACATTAAAACTGTGCTAAATACATACACTTCATCCTCCCTCAGATCATATCATGCCCCATCCCCCAACACATGAAATGACTATATTGGAGCAAGGTGGTTTTTTCTTTCTAAACATACAGTACTTATACATCCAAATGAGGGCTATATTCTTTAAAGTAATCACCTTTGGAAGTCATATATGCATTCCAACAAGGCCACCATTACACAGAACTTCTCTGGAATCTTTCTTTTATTATAATGCAGGCTCTCCAGATTTAGTGTGCATAAGGATCACCAGGGAACATGTTAATAATGCAGATTCTTAGAGATTTGGATTTAATTAGTCTTAGAAGGAGTCTGGGAATTTATATTTTTAAGAAGCTCTCCAGGAAAGTTTTATACAGGTGATGTATGAGAAACAGCACCTCAGAATAGTCTCCACAAGCCATTCAAGGATATCAAAAGGATTTTGGAGTTAAACTTGGTGTACACATACACATAACACATTGGAGGTTTATTATTATTTTTTTCAAAATATTCATTCTTCCTGATATTAGGGTCGATATACACAGAAGCATCTATTTGCAAACAACATACCTCCATGAAAGAGATTCCTAAACTCCAGACATCAGAATGGATTCCATACTGCTCTCCTGAGATTCTTTCAGGCTGTAAGAAAACAGAAGCTGGTGAGTTGACGTGAGCTACTCCAGGAAACACTAACACGAGCTCAGCTAAGGCAGGGAGCCACCAACATTTTGTGGCACTTTATGAAGCACAAAACAATTTGTGTGTGTGTGTACACAAGTGTATTATACAGGTAACATACAGAAACGATATGGGTAATACGGATAGATACCATCTCACTGAATCCTCACAAAGTCCCTGTGAGGAAAACTTTATTACCTCTGTTTTACAGATAAAGGATATGGAGGCTCAGATTGGTGAAATCATTTAGGCAAAGTCCTCAGCCAGGAAATGAGCTGAGACTTGGACCCAGGTCCTCTCCCTCCAAATTCAGTGGTCTCAGCTGTGAAGTGACAAACTACACAACATTATATAATGTTGGGCGCCTGGGTGGCTCAGTCGGTTAAGCGACTGCCTTCGGCTCAGGTCATGATCCTGGAGTCCCGGGATCAAGTCCCGCATCGGGCTCCCTGCTCAGCAGGGAGGCTGCTTCTCCCCCTGACCCTCTTCCTTCTCGTGCTCTCTTTCTCTCATTCTCTCTCTCTCAAATAAATAAATAAAATCTTAAAAAAAACAAAAAACAAAAAACATTATATAATGTTATCACTTATTTGCACTTTTGAGACATGGGTCTGGATCACTAGGGATTCTATTTTTATTTTTTTAACTTTTCATTTGGCAATAGTTTCAAACTTACAGGAAAGTTGAAAAGCTAAGATTAATACAAAAGACATTCATATTTCCTTTGTCCAGAGTCACCTATGGTTCAACATGTTATTCCATTTATCAGGGTTTCTTTTGATATGAACCATGGAACAGTTTGAAAGGTCCATTTGGGACAACTTGTTCTCCATTCAAGACGTGTGGCAAATACCTGGTCTAGAAAGCCACAACATGCACACTCTCTACTTCAACATGAATAGTTTCATAGTGAAGTGGGTGCTGTCTAGTGTCTATCCCACCAGGATCTAGCATTCAGTATAGTACTTCACAGAATCTTTTGAATGAACACAGGAGCACATGAATATGAGAAACCGAAGTCTCATGGAGGTGGAATGGTTGCTCAAGGCTACAAGCTGGACATGGCAGGGCTGGGATCATAACCCATGCCTCCTGGCCCTCAGGGCACCATTCTGTTCCTGGGTCCACCCCTGGAGTTCCTGGTGGCCACCACTGGCATCAGCCTTCGGGAGCTTTCATGGGAGCCCTGAAGAGTACCTGGGGCCAGGATCAGCCTGGTCCACTGCACACGGGGAAGTAGGCATCCACCACTCACCAGCAGGGGATATGCCAGGGGAGTGGAAGATGTAAGCCCGGTACTCTCAGGTGATTGGCACAGTCCTACATCCCGGGGAGTTGGCTTAGCTGGGACCCAGAACTTTGTGATCTACTTTCTGCCCACACCTACCAGGCTACCTCAATATACTTATTGCCTTCTCCTGGGACCACTTGCCCTAAAATTACATAAAGCCCTGTCCTGAGGTAGCAGGATGGATTGTCTTATTTCCCTTCCTTTATTTATTTCTTTAATTTATAAAACCACTTTCCCACCAAGAACAATTCTTCCCAAGGGCCAAATGTCATGTGAGCATCTCTCCCAGTTGCTATAGACACGGTCATTCCAATTCCCTAGTACTTTTACGTTCAAATCCCCTACACCATCATTTTGAAGTTCTTGTTCATGCATGAATGAACCCATTATCCAATTCCACTTAGTTCAATAGGTACTAGGATGAAAGCAGCCAATTAGTTACAGGAGTATCATCATCATCAACACCATCATCATCATCAACAACAAGACTACTGTGTGCATTTACTGAAGAATTTCCATATGCTTGACATTAAGTGCTGTTCATGCATGTCTCATTTCAGATTCATAAACACCCATATGAGATTGGTACTATTACCATCCCCTTTTAACAGATGAGGAAGAAGAGGCATACAGAGGTTTAGTTTGCACCCACTATATAAGGACAGTAATAGCTATCACGTAATGACCAACGAGTATACGCCAGACACTGGACTGGATACTTTGCATCCTCTACGCCTTGGGGCAATCTTGCAAAGTTATATTGCCCTTATTTTACAGATGTAAAAACTAAGGCTTCATAAGATTAAGTGACTTGCTGAAGTCTAGAGCTGTGGGTCAGCATTAGGTGTATTTGTTTAGGAACATAGCCAGGATTCAAACCCAGGTATGTCTAAATGCAAAATCAGGGTTCTTCTAGTGTGTCACACTGTCCCCAGAACTAGAAGTTAGAAGAGCCACACACCTAATCTTGATCTGGTCAGTATTTCTCAAAATACTGTCTTCAGTATTCATTGAAAAAAATAATTTCTCTGGGTGACTCTTTGGTATACTCAGCCTCAGTCACTAAACATTTCCATGTTCACTGCAGAGGCAATGACCTGTCTTACTCCTCTTTGCTTAGTGAACGTTTCTTTTATAAAGGCCCTGCTCATGGACCACCTGTTTGGTGAAACGTTCCTCTACCTCTCAGGAAGAATTACAAATTCTTGCCTCTGTCCTTCATGAAAATGTTGGTTGTATTTTTAATATTAATTCATTACACTGTGTTGTAACCATCCGATTACAAGCCTGTTTCTCCTAAGAGGCCAAGAGAGTGTCTTATTCATTTCATACCTAGTACCACGGCTGACACACAGCCGGTGAGCAGTCAAGGCATGTTGCCTTGAAGGGATGCAATACATGTTTACTGCACATTTGGTTTAAAGCATGTGCCAATTATTAAGTCCCCTGGAGTGTTCTACTAATATAACTTCCCCAGGAAGGCTATCCATGCCCATCAAGAACATCCAGCAAACATGAAAATCCTAAAATCTGCCAGAATTCTTAAAGAAATAACCAAATGTTGCCTTCTTCCCTGTTTCTTCTCTCCTTACTCTCTCCTTTTCTTCATTCCCCTAGCTGACAGTTATCACTATCTAGCACTCATGTAGAGTACAGGAGTACACAACAAGCAAACAAATGCAAGTGGAGCCCAGATACAAAATATTTTGGCAGGACCAACAATAAGATTAAATACATTCATAATATTTGCCCAATGAACTATCAAAACAAATGTAAACTGGAAGCTGAAAATAAAGCATGAAAAAATCGGGGTACCTGGGTGGCTCAGTCGGTTGAGCATCTGACTCTTGGGGGTTTCGGCTCAGGTCATGATCTCAGGGTCGTGAGACTGAGCCCCACGTCGGGCTCCATGCTGGGTGTTGAGCCTGCTTAAGATTATCTCTCTTCCTCTCTCCCTCCCCCTGCCAGCTCGCGCATGCTTTCTCTCTCTCTCTCAAATAAAATAAATCAATCTTTTAAAAAATAAGGCATGAAAAAATTAAATTAAAAAAGAAAAAAATAAAGTGATAATGGTCACAGGTGGCAAATAAGAGGGCTCCTTAAGGACGAGATTCTGACAACCTCTCATTGGAGAAATAATTCTTGCAATAAGCTAACAAAATGAGATCATTGTTGTGATGCTGTTCTCAAGCATGAATGCTCAGTGAAAGTAGGTAGCCAGCTCTACGGGTCTACCTGAAGAACTGGTACAGCAGATAAAGGCTGGGAAATGCGCCCAGGCCCCTGAAACAGACACAGGCACAAGATGAGCCCCAATCCACTCTGAATTTAGGGAGCCAGGACTTGATGGCCCGAGGCTGCACAATTCAAATCTGTTCTCACACTTGAAGCCAAGGTGGCCTGCCCTGTCCTCTCCCATCTAAAACAAAACAAAACAAAACAAAACAAAAAAACAAAACACCAACCACCAGGTACCACGTTACTGACAGAAGATCTGTGACGGATATTTTGCAGTTACAAATCGAAAGCTGGGTTACTTTCTGACATGGCAGTGGTCACCAGTGCGGAAAGCTAAGTAACAGGAAAAACATGACTCCCATCTCAAGCACCTCTGTACTGAGGTTTAAGTGTAGGAAGGGAAGATTCTGGTCTGTTCTCAATGAGAACAGTAGGGAGTGGTGATGGTATAAAAAGCAGAGTTTATAAAAGATCTGAAAAGGCAGTAGCTCCAAGCCGCACACTGCACTCCTTCCAGCTACCCTCTGTGACTTGTTATTTATCCAGGACCCCTGTTTAGATGACTCACTCCAGAACTGTCTCTAGGTACAACAGGATTCACTTGTCAAAAGCAGAAGATACCAAGGGACATTCCTTATCTCTTCTGATAAAGAATTTCTGCTCAGGGTTACACCAATCAGAAAATTAACAAAGTATGTACAAACACTTTAGGTTAGTAAGTAATCAAAAAATGTATTACAAACAATGGGGAATTCTTTTTTTTTTTTTTAAGTTGGCAAGATCCCTGTGGGTAGTCTAGCATACTGGTCAGACCAGGGTTCTGGAGTCAGACTGCTCTAGCTTAATCTATTTTCCACGTCATGAATTCTCTCTTCTGCTATATCCAATATGCTACCAAGTAGTGAGTTTTTACATTTTAATCTAGTAGTTTTGCTTCAGATTTTCTCCATCTACTATGTCACTTTTAAAATCTGTGATTTGAAGTCTGTGTGTATCTGTTGTTCCTTCTGGTTCTTCTTCATGTTGTCTTGTTTCCTTGTGTGCCTGGTTTCTGTTGACTACTTGCCAGGTTTTGCTCTTGAAAGCATTTTGGAGAGATTCTCTGGGGCTTCAGGTAGATATGCCTACCTCAAACCAGGTTCTTAGCATGAAGCTCCATTTCCAACTCAGGCCATGAATATAAATACTTGGTGCAAATCTGTGTCAGAGTTAGTCTATGGCCACAACTTTCCCCCTTTTCCTTTTCCCTTGCTTCTCTGCTTGGCTCTGAGAGGCCTTCTTTTTTGTTCCTTGGGACTGGGGGAGGAGAAGGAGCAGCATCTTTGGCTCTGGTTCACTCTTCACACTGAGGGCAAGCCCTTCAGATTTCCAACATGATATGGAGAAAATCTCCTCTGAGATCTAGAGAGAAGATCTCCTCCTCCTCTGAGACCCTCTGCCTTAGGAGGACCCCCAGAGCATTCACAGCTGTGGTATAGGCACATGGTGCTCCAACATTCTGCTTTCCCCTCTGTTGGCAGGATTCCATCTGAAAATTGTCCTGGGGGATCCCCTTTGTCTTTTTAGCTCTTCAGTGAATTTGAGATGATTATTTTAAAGTATTTTACCTAGCATTTTTCAATGGAAGAGCTGGTCCAAATAGCCCAACCTGCTGTTATCAGAAACTAGAAGGTGGTGTCCTAATTAAATCTTGACTCTCACTATTTGGTCCACTCTGAGACCCTGGGATGAATTTACTTCACCTTTGGTTTCATTATCTATAAAATGAAGACAATAATAATATGTATACTTCATGGGGCTGTGTGAAGATTAAGTGAATCCATTCGATGTGCTTGATTCAGTACCTGTCACATGGGAATGCTCAGTAAGTGCCAGCTTCCTTCTGACCACCAACACTGCTACGGCCATCACTGCATGAACATGGCTAATGTTGCTGTATTATGTCATCTGTATAGGTTTCATTCTGGGTAAAGGTAATTTCCCAGGACAAGAACAGCCCAGGTGGGAAAAATGTTCAGGAGACAAGAACAGTCATATTGATACACTTTCTTTTTAAAAGATTTTATTTATTTATTTGAGAGAGAGAGAGAGAGTGCATGTGTGCATGAGCAGGGGAGGGGCAGAGGCAGAGAATCTCAAGCAGACTCCATGCTGAGCATGGAGCCCAATGCAGGGCTCGATCCCACGACCCTGAGATCATGACCTGAGCTGAAATCAAGGGTCAGACACTTCACTGACTGGGCTACCCAGGTGCCTCTTGATGGACTTTCTGATCACAAGGCACAAATATTTGGGTAAGATTTTAATTTCTAAAACTAACTATTCGTAATAATGTCAAACTTTTATATTTGATCAAATTTTATAATAATAAACAAACCACAATGACTGAGGAACAATGGGTTGAAGTTTTAGGGCCTTCTATGTTTAAAACAGAGTAAAATTTTTAGTAATTAGAATACCTGAGAAATGGTTTAATGTGAGCCCCCAAAGCCTTCTCAACTTCTCTTGTAATCCTGTGGGATGAGGTCTTTTTAAAATGTAGCTGAAAATCTTTCTTGCTTTGGCTTACAGTGTCTACCAAACCTAAATATCTGCCCCTAAAATGTAGTATGTTCTTGGACTTGCCACTCTACTTTCCGATCTTGTTGGTCAATGAGGAGGTTGGACCAGATGACTTTCCAAGTCTCCTACAAGTTCCACCCCTTAACATGCCCATAAATTGTTAATTAGTATTATTTTTTCATGACTTAGGATCTTAAGAAAGCTGCCCTTTTTCCTAATTATCACTTTCCTATACCTTACACTTTAGATTATAGAAGAATGAAGTGAGATTGCACATGCAAGGCTATTTCTTTGATTTACTTTCTTTTCAATATTTGGCAGCCTAGTTGACTGTGTTTGAGTAATTTGGGGGTCTTCTATACCTTATAATGCAACTGAGATACTTAATATGAAAAGTTAAATGCTCTGCTTATAATTAGTGAATAAGTCATTCTGGGAAAGCAGTTTTCACGTACTAAATCATTCATTTAGCCCTGTGTGAAGGACCAGATATAGAGACTGAGAGAATAAACCCTGCCCCCCTGAAGATCACAATCCAGATTGGGAGAGTCACAGACATAATTTGGACATAGTGGGAGGCAGAGCAGTTAGAAGTTTAGTCTCTGCAGACTGATGACTTCGGTCTGAATCCTGACTCCGCCACTTATTAGATGTATGAACTTGAGTAAGTTACTTAACTTCTCTATCCCTGTTTTTTCAGCTGTAAGATGAGAATGATATTACTTACCTGATAGGGTTGTTGTAAGGATTTAAAGCATTTATATATGTAAAAGTTTAAAAGGGTGACTGGTGCATGGGGTTAAATATTAGCTATTATGAGGGTATCATACCAGTTGACCTCTAACTGTATATTCCCACAACTTATTATTTGTCCTCTACCCCACATCCCAACGCCAACAATGTCACATTATCTTGTATTTCTAAATCTTTGCTCATCCCTCCATAGTGATCTCTTTTAGTAAGTATCCTTTTCACATACTGTTAAATCATCAAATTCGTACACTGTATCCCTTCTTACTCTCTAAATGTATGTTTGATACAACTTAAGTCTTTATTATGTCACACATAATGTAACCACATATAATGCCAAGCTTCTCATTTTGCCCACATCTTATGCGGATTTGAGTGGTTCCGCCGTAACCTGGCTAATAGCATGGAAGGTGCCCAGTAAATACTGGTTGATTAACTGAAGGTACTCAGTGTCAGATACAGCTTTCACTGGCACAGACCAGAGGCTGGCAAACTTTCTCTGTACACAGCCAGAGCATAAATATTTCTCCCTCTGTGGGCCATATGGTCTCTGCTGCAACTGTCACAGCGACTCCACTCTGGCCCTGTAGCGCCAAAGCAGCCAGAGACAATACGCAAACAAAAGGGCGTGGCCACGTTCCAATAAAACTTCCGTTTCTTAACTAATTTTTTAATTTTGAAATACTTATTGATTCACAAGTTGAAAAAAATATATACAGGGAAGTTCTGTGCACCCTTCACCCCTCAATGGTAGTTCTATAATACAATACCGTGGTATCTCAGGCAGAGATTAAGACCCGTAACAGAATAATGTTATTTCCATCTTCTCCTACTCCCAACCTCTGATCTCACACCAATTAGGTAAGTATGTGGCCAACGAGAGTCTGCTGAATTGAGCGAAGCTCACTATTGGGCTGTCACTCGGCTTTCTAGGTCTCTTATGCTTTTTACAGCTTGAACTATAAAGCTGATGACTAGAATTCACTCACCCAAGAAGCAAAGCAATTTTAGCTGTGCCAGTCTGAGCTCACATTTCATAATTTTAATCCTCACATAGTCAATTAACAGATGGACGCATCACATTCATCCATAAACCAAAAGGAAAAAAGGTAATTTCTTTAATGTACACCTGGGAAAGACAACTGTAATCTAGATTTGTACATTCAGACATGATGCAATTTAATTATTGGAGCAATTTAAAGCTACTAAAAACATGGGTAGATGAAAAGTTGTTTCATTTATAGTAGTTTTATTTATTTATTTTTAAATCACAGTGTTCCGTAATTCTTTCAAAGACTGAAATTGTGGCATTTGGTAGGGATTTATTAATTATAAAAGTGGCTCACCAATCTCAGCTAACCTGGTAGAGCCAAGAGGGTGATTATGTTTTATATAAACAGATATGATGGCTTTAGAGGTTAATTTTTTTTCACATTACCTAGAAAAATGAGAAAGAATGAATTTTCTTTAAAAATCAGGCAAGACAAAAATTAACTATTCTGGTATCTCAATAAGAAAAAAAAAAAGGGCTTGTACTGTTCTGAGAATAAGATCCAGAGTTCCATCCATATTAACATCTTTTTATCAAGATAATATATGAACTGAGATTAAGAGCCAGGGTTCCATCCATACTAATATTGTTTAACTTCCTATAAAGACTATTGGAAGTAAAACAGACTAACTGAATAAATCCAGAATCCTCATTAAAAAAAAAAAAAAAAGGCCTTCAGATGTTAAAACAAAACTTGGTTCCAAAAATGACACTCAATAACCTTCCTACTTGTCTCTCCTGACCGACCACCCACTACTAAAGTGACTGTGGAAACTAATAAACAAAAGATTTGTGCCCCAAATAACTTCCCTTACTTAAAAGGTAGGAAAAAGGAAAAGGTCGAAGCCAAGTCGACACTGGGTCTTTGAAACAGTTCTATGTTTCTAATTTTTATATGTGGTAAATTTATTTCAGAGGAATTAATAAGTTATCTTACGACAGGCATGAACCCAACAAGTACACAAAATATAGATGTACAAGTTTGAAAGAAAATTTCCTGCCAACCTTTACGTTCAGAGATCCATAAGTAAGAGTTGGTCGTGTCAAAAATTTAATTTTGATCAGGTGACAAAGCGTGTTTGTATTCCTAGGAAAAACAACCAATCTTACTGACTGATAGTTTGGGATACTTGAGGGTTAATTAAGTAAGCAATGTGGCAAAGTGGTCAATGTGCTATAAGGTGCAATTTTTCTGTAGGATTAAACTTCAAAACTCAGCAATTTCACACTCGAACCAACTAGTTAAGTTAACTAAGCAGATAAGTTGGCAGCTCCTGTAAAAACCCCAACGCCTTTTAGAAGGATTTAAAAATCGGATCATGACTGGATTGACTTTGTAATTTATGATCTGTTAGGATAAAGCTGTTGAATTAATTCAAGAATTCTACATTACCAAGTACATAAAGATAAAGATGTTGGTTTTAAATGTTATTTTTGCATAAGTTTACTTACCGCCATATAAGCATTTGTTCCAACATACGTCTTGGCTATAGAATTCACCAGCTATGAGACAAAACAGTCTGTTAGAACAATATAAAGATAATGTGGAAATAAAATGGGCAATTATTCCTCATTTAACCTACAATCATCATTTCTATAAATCAACTAAAAATTATGTAAAAGGGAACAAATTTATCTACAAAGGCATTAAAAATGATTAAATCTCTCTTTTCTTTTGAATGTGATTTCCAATTTAAACAAGCACAGCATTACAGTTTATAGCAGATAACCTTAAACAATTCACTTAAGCAGGATGCTTATCGCTTTAGTACCCCAAACCCGCCTGATATAAAAAGTCAATTTGAAGTAGAATTTGAACACACTCATTTTTTAGTCAGATGGCTCAGGATGTGAATGAAACCCGTGCATTACTAGAATGGAATGAACACTAAATACGCTGGAGGGATAACAGACTTTGACAGCCCATAATACAACGATGACCTTCGCTTTGGTCTTCGTGTTTGGCTGGGAGTAAAGGTGGCTGCAATTCAAATCAACATCACAGCACGCTCATGGGTCACTATCACCAGGGTTCTCAGGGGAGGCCCAAAATGGAAATTAATTAAAATTTGTGCTGCACATTGTAATGGCCCTCCACCATTGTTGTTCCCAATATTAATTTTTATTGTGGGCCAGTTGGGCTCCCCAGGCACAGCTCCCACTCTGCCCTCCCTTTTGTCTGGTCAAAACGCTTTCATATCAAAGCTGCATATCAATGAAGTTTGCTATTCGTAAGTAGTAATTACAATATCAGCAGTTTTTACTGTCATTAAACAATGAACAATCATATTCTGATGAAGGAAACTCGCTCGGAGATTAAAAATGAATAACAGACTCCCAGCCGAGGAGAAGATGCAGAGGTCTGTTTGTCTGGCAGCTAGGTGATTTTTCAATCCAAAAAGTAGACTGAAAATAAAAAGTGGATGTTGCAGAAAGGAGAGCAAACTGGGGGGAAAAAAAAGAGACCTACCTGAGTGCTAACTCCAAAATCGCACAGCTTGACCTGTCCTCTTGTGTTTACCAGCATATTGGAGGGCTTCACATCTAAAAAGGGACCAGAAAAGTCCACGTAACTAATTCCGGATCTATAGCACCATGTTTTAAAAAAGCACACATGCACACCATACCATATTGCAGAAATGACATCATCTGTTCAACCCGGAATTCTAATCACAAATTTAATGCAAAGCATTTTATCTGGAGGCAAAATGCAAGGTCCTAACTCCTTCACTTCCAACCATTTCTGGTTTCTATGGAAGCAAGGGTTTATTTCAAGTGAAAGTCAAATAAAATCTTGGCTTCCCACAACAGTAAATACATCCATCATCCTATCCCCAGGCTTTCAGGAAAAGAGGTGGATAAGAAAATGTAATCTTCTTGCAAAGAATTTGCACAAAAAGGTTTAACTTTGCTGTCGATGTGAAACTATTCCTCCCATTTAAGAAGCAGTAAGGCCAAAAGGAAGCCAACAAGAAAAAAAATCATTCCTATGCTGCTGGTAACAGGTCATATCTGAATGAAAAAGGACAGAAAGAATGCAGTCTTGTTGTCTTCTGGTTTTACGTGACAAACCCTATTTCAGATATTCCTCAGAAACTGGTCTAAAAGGCATGTGGATGCGCGTGCATATATGCACATATCGATCTTTGTTTCATTTCTCCTTCTCTTCCCTTACATCACTTTGACTGCTGTTATAGTTAACAAAAGAAGTGACATAGCTTTTGCCAAGGCAGTCGGTTGCTAAATAATGACACAAAGGGTTTCTGTGAAGCATTGTCAGTGACAACAATGAGCCATTTCAGGAATTCAGGGAGCCCACAAAAACCATCGGAGCAGGACAAGAGCACACCACTGTTGATGGTACAGAATAGCACCTGCTTCAATATCTCATCTTCAATGGCAAAAGTGGTCTGGAACAGACAACTTGTTATATTTAATATAGCACATAACCTGAATTAACCCCAAACTGACAAGAGACTCAATTTTTTATGTGACATTAAAAAATAGGTGAGTCAATCCACCCTGACCTTCCATTTTGCAAAAGGGTTCGCCAACAAAGTATCTTGCCAATAGCAGGTACTTAATTTAAACTTCAAGTTCAAACTCAGTAACCAACAACTACTGAAGCCTACTTCTATGTGATAGGCAACGTGCCAGGCACTTTCTCATACATGTGCTCATTTCACGTTGCCTGAGTGACACGAGAATGTAAATGCCAAGAAGGCAGGGGCTTTGTTTCTTTTATTGACTACTATATTCCCAGCCCCTAGAAGAGTTTCAGGGCTATAGTAAGTGCTTAATAAATATTTGTTGAACAGATGAGAGAATAAATGAACGGAAACCATACACACAAAGTATGATTTGATGTTGATCATTGTTTCAGTGATCAGGGGTAGGCTATAGAACAGGTCTCAGCAGCAGCATGCCCTTCACACAAGACATACTAAATACCTCCTTTAGGGGCATTCTCTGAATACAAGTTAGGATGCCTAGGCTGGTATACGTTCTTTTATAGACAGCTAGTCTCTCTGTCTCCAACTTTCCTCAATTTGAATTATAAATCTTATACCACCATCACATTAAAATTACCATGTTTACTACGTCACTTCTCTTCTGGATGAGGAAGTAAAAATAGTCCCTGACCTCTGCTAACCTAAACGTGAACTCTGAGTTAGCCCAATACATACGTATCGTAGATAGCCACAGTAGATACTCAATAAATGTTTGGTGAACTGAAAGAAATGTTAGACTCCACATAGGCTGGTCTTATTTTCCAAACCCAATTCTCATTATAGGCCCTCAACTTCGACTATTTTTCTTTCGGACAACCTGCTCTTTTATATATTGACAGCTTTAAACCACTCTTAGGCTACCACATCAGGTGGAGACAGTTAATAAGCAAATATTTTGAGCTCCCGGAAGAAGGAGCTGCCTTGAAATCACGAGGTACACCAAAATTAACAAATCTTTATCTTTAATCAGATACACTTTTGACTTAGGTAGATCAATAGAGAGAGGAGCAATAAAACAACAGAACTGCTAGATTATACTCTAAAAGGCAAGGTGTAAATAAGAACTTCACTGCATTTTTCAGCTCTCCAACATCTTTTTTAATTTACACGCAAGCCTGCTCCGGGACTTTTGCACATTGACCTCCCAGCCCAGTTCTTCTCAGGGAAAGCTTCATCTCTGAAAGTAGTAAACATCCACTCATCCTCACATCCTTTGTATTCCTGGGCTGTTCTCATCATTGTCTCAGAAGAAGGAAAACACCCATCACCAAGCCTTTGTTCATGTCCTGTGTTCCTCTCTCCCTCCTGCCCTAGGTTGAGAAACCCTTCCTCAACATTTCCTGAATGAATCCTGCCTATACTTCAACTCAAATACCCCACCTCCCTGTTGCCTTAACTACTCAGGCCAACAAAGGCTCAGCTTCCTTTGACCTTTACTGTCTGTGCCATTTGTTTGGAACTAAGTATGGCACACGGTTTGACTAGCAGTTATTTACCATATTTACTGGTGCAGGTATTACCACCCCAAGTAATAAGGTCACAGGGTAGGAATATGCTTCACACATCGTTGTGTGTATTCTGACAACTGTACCTTGTTCACTGGTTAATGGCTTTTTTTAAACAATATGCTAAATTTGCTAATAGAAGTACCTCCCGCCCCTTCCCAGTAGTATCTTAAGACATCATTTGAATATAAGAGACCCCTTTAAACAAAAACAATGGATTCAGGCTAGGAGACAGAGGACCTGCATTTTGGTCTTTTTGGGCCAGCCACAAACTTGGCATGTGAATTTCACAAGGCGGGTGACGTTTTAGTTTCTACCACTGCAGGGAGACAGTAATGGCCACTGTGTCAATTTTCAAGAACTGTGAGGATCAGATGAGATAATGAATGTAAAATTGCTTTTAAACTGCCAAACACTCCATAACTATAAGGTATTATTATCTACTGGTAATCAATGAAACTGTTATACAACAAAAAGTGGTATATTTTGGGATATTTAGGAAGTAATTTGTTGTTGCAGCAAACTTTAGCTGTATTTCAGTAAAATACTAGCTAAAATAAGGTAATTCCCAAAGTGCAGTAAGTAGAACTATGAAAAAAATTTAATGTTCCTGAGGAGGCATTTTTGTCAGACCATGTGCACATATTCCTCAACAAGGCTACTGGTCTCCCTGTATTTATGCTTCCTCTACCACAGTCTGTGTTGAACACAGCAGCTAAAGTGATCATTTATTTATTTAAAAAAAATTTTTTGAGTGATCCTTGTAAAGCTAAATCAGACCATGTCATTTTTCTGCCTAAAACCTCCAAGGGCTTCCCAGCTCAACACAAAACGCAGACCTCACAATAGTCTGTGAGGCCATCTCTGAGCTGGTCCCCACTAGCCCTGTGCTCACACCCTTCCTATTCCTTCCTCTGCCCAGTCTGCTTCAATTCACTGGCCTCCTTGCTAGACATGCTCCCGCTTTGGGGTTCCATATCCCTGGAATACTCTGCTCCCATATATATTCAGAGCTTGCTCCTTCATTTCTTTTAGGTTTCTACTGAAATGTAATCTTGATAAGAGAAGCCTTCCCCAGTCACCCAGTAGGAACAGCAACACCTTCCCACCACAGATGTCTATATAAATCTGTTGTCTCAGTTGTCCACTCTTGAAGGGAACCTCCACAAATGCAGGGACTTATCTGTTTTGTTCACTACTATATCTAGAATGGTGTGTGGTAGTGACAAGAAACCCTATTTGTTGAACAAATGGTTAATGAATGATATCTCTTCTAAACAGATGGGGAAATGTGCTCATCCAGAGAATTTGACCCAAGAAGGAGCTGAATCTCCCCACTTAATGGCATATACTTCAGAATGAATACAGTTCACTATTAATGAACACACTTTTAAATGACATTTTTCATTCTGGAAAGAATCCACAGTCATTCAAAAACATGTATTCAACAAGTATTTACTGACACCTTGGCATGTGCCAGATATAATGGTGGGTGATGTGGAGAGAAACATGAGTAAGACCCTGTCAGTGCCCTTCAGGCAAATGCAGGCCAGGGACCTGCTGGCATATATATATTTTTTAAACAAAATATAGTACATGAGATTTCAGGATAACAACCCCAGTTATGTATAATTGAAATGGAATTCTCTTCCTGAACAAATGGCATGCTTCCTATAATAAAAACAATGAGAATTATGCAACTAAAGAGCTTCCCAAACTTGGCTGTGCATTTAAAAACAACAAAAACCAAACCAAAACAAAAACCAAAAGCCAACTTTTGAGTTCCACCTCAGATCTACTGAATTAGAAGCCAAACTAACAAAGGCTGGTCTTCTGACCAGCATTTAGAAAAGACTAACACAACCTCCTGTATTGCTTCTGATTTAACTACTGTCCAGTTAAAAGTATCTGAAGAGAAATTTCTTCTCTTATTTTACTTTTTAAAATCAATTTTATTCATTTAAAACACCAATTTTATTGCAATCATTTTGAATGTACAGTTTGATGAGTCTGACAAATGTATACATCCATGTATCCACACCACAATCAAGATATGAAACATGTGTGTGACCCCAGAAAGTTCTGTGCCCTTTTATAGTCAACTCCTCCCTGACCTCTGGCAACCACTGACAAGTTTCTGTTTTTGCCTTTTCTACATACATTATGAATCCTCTAATAATTGGTTAGTGTTTAGATGGTATATCTACCATTAATATTCAAAGTTGATATGCTGAAGACAGTATGCAGTTGGGTCTTGTTTTTTTTTTAACTAGTCTGACAATTTGTGCTTTTAATTGGAGTATTTAGACCATTTACATTTAACGTAATTATTGATATGGCTGAGTTCAACCTTACCATCTCATTATTTGTCCCATCTGTTCTTTGTTTCTTTTTCTTCTCTCCTTGCTTTCTTTTGGATTAGTTGGGCTCTTTTTATCATTCCACTGATCTCTACTATGGACTTCTAAGCCAGAGTTTGACAAACCCTTTCTGTAAAAAAACATATTTCAGGCTTTGAGGGCCATAT